TTCAGCTTTTAGTTGAAATGAACTGGTTAAGATCAGGACCTGACCATTGTTTGGATTAAACTATGCCTTTTCACAAAAATCTTTTTTTGTTAGAAAAACAAAAAAACCCCAGCTATAACTGAGTGAAGCTCAGCCATAATACCAGCAGATCAGCTGACCTCGGTAACCCACAGTTTCTACACATCTGCAGCCTACTTCAGCAGAGAGATTTCTTGTGTGCGTGCTACTGTTTAACTTGAAGCTCTGCTGTGATGCCTTACTGACCTGCTACCACACATGCGCTGCAATGTTTTCTTACCCGACACAAAATTAAACACGCAGCATATATTCTCTAACCACATATTATACAAAATCATACATGTAACATAATAACTGAAACAGTATCAAAAATATTTCTCTGTAGATTGGCTCTAACAGGATGTGTTCTCACTGAAATACTATTTTTGGTTTAGGGAAGGGTTGATTGCTAAATAGAGTGCAGAAGGTTCGAAAGATAACAGCCTCAAGCACATTGTACATCCACTGAACACTTACCTGAACTCTTCTCAAATGAGTCCAAGAGTGGATTAGACTTTTGTATTTACCCATGCAGCACTTCTAGGTAAAGTCTAGAAAGGTTTAGAGGTGTAGTGCATGTGTCATATTGCCCTTCTCATTGTAGTAGTAGTAGGCTAGCAATACAATGCTGGCCTTCGTTTTTGTGCTTAAAAACCCTGATGGAGCACATTTACGGATAGAGCCTGGCCAGTATTTTTTAGATGACTTATTTAGCAAGTCACAAATATACCAAAAAGTACAGATAACAAGTTAGACAGTTTTACTACTATTCACGCAAACTGCTGCCATCTTGAATTGTGAAGTTGGTGTTGGTGGGGCTTCTCCAACTTTCTGATTGGAACTGTGACCTGAGGGGTCAGAATTTAGTAAAGCATTGCAGGTTTATGCCTTGAAGAACTATCTGTACTTAATCTAGCTGATTTATGTCATTTTGCTTCATAGATGACAACAACTTCATGTCATCTGCATGACATCAAGGCACTGAACGCTGTGCAACTTCATGACTATTTTATTAAACGAGGATAACTTTTAATCTAACATGAAAAAATTCCATTTTCTCACATTTAGTAGTAAATGTTTTGAGATTCTTGCTTAGACCATGGGATTTTTGGATGATTCCAGTATGCCTAAACTTAGCTCAAGATACGCTAACACCAAAAATATTGAATTATCTGTACAGACCACCACAGACTCTCACTGATCCTAAAATAACGTAATGGTGTCCCTGCTTTCAGGGAAGACTCCTCTGCGAGCCTCTTTGTGTCTTCAGTGCAGGTGTTGGGGATAACCAAGGGATCTTAGTGAAAGCCGAGTGAAAGTTAATGGGTTTGAGGGTCCTCAGAGGGCACAGAGGGAAAAAGGGGTCATGACATTTGATCGTCCTGCCCTGACAGGCCAAGGCAGTGACAGAGAGGTCGGGGTTGGAGGGGGAGCAGAAATGTACCAAGAAGCACATGGGTGGGGCAGGCACGCACAAAGACCCTCTCAGTGCAGTGATCAGGCTTGTCACCCATGTGTAACCCTCTCCTATGGCTTAACTCTCCGGAATACACTGGGAATATGACTCCAAGCCACTGATGAAAACATTTCGAATACAAAAGTGACCTGGGAGGAAAAAAATCCCTATTGAAGGACATGTTTATCCCCGTTTTGAAGCGCAAATCCTGTAAAAACAGCAGTCGAGACATTCAAGCGCACCAGCTCATTGACTCTGATGTAAACGCGTACATCATGATTCAGTCTTCTTCGTAGCCGTCTACCAACGCTTGTCATATGGACCAATCATGGAGCAGTTGGGCATAGAGCCACAACATAACAGGAAGCAAGTGGCATAAACACGGGCTATAAACACAGTAAACAAAACCAACAGAGCACTGACATGCTGCTGATTAAAAGGGTGAGACGTTTGCTGAAGAGGTGTTCAGAAAAAGAATGTACACAAACAGTCGGTGATTAGAGATGATACTACTCTCTCTGCAGGGCAAAAGTCAACAAATCAAGGTGAGGGGAGATAAAAAAAAGAACATAATGGAGATAATGTGAGGTCTGTTGCTTTCAGCGTTTCCACAGCACCATATTCAAGAGTTATGGTTGTTGTGAAACCACATCCAGTGTTGGCTGCTTGAACTGTTTGTCAGATAAAGAACAAAAGAAAAGTCATCTGGCATCACTTTAAAGAGCTTTAATTTCAAATGTCATGTATTCGCTTTACACTGATCCAGTCTGTAGTCCATTTTCTCAGCCTCCTCAAATAATAGTGATGCTATTCAACATTGTTTTCTTTTTTTGAGAAGTAAAGTTTTGACTTGCAGTCCATTTTAAATGAGCACTTTTACAATTACATAGTTAAACCAGCACTTTAATAGGACAGTAATGCTGTTTTTACTGGAAAACAGAACTAATAAGATCCAATGTTCCCTTTGAGTAATAATGACTCACCGGCCACTTTATTAGGCACACACTGATAGTATATGGTTGTACCCTGGAACTACTGCAAACATTCATTTTGATCCAAATTGACGTGACAGTATCACACAGTTGCTGCAGATTTGTGGGTTGCACATCCATAATAGGACTCCCCCGTTCCACCACATCACAGAGGTACCGTTTTTGGATTGTAATCTGGTGACTAGAAGCCATTTGGGTACACTGAATTTATTGTCAAGCACAAGAAACCATTTTTAGGTGATTTGAGCTGCTGGAGTTGGTACACTGTGGTCATAAACGGACGGACATGGTCATCAACAATACACAGACGGGCTGTAGCTGTAGATACTCAGTCGACACTAAGGGAACCAAAGTTTGCCAAGAAAAGATTCCCCACACCATTACACCACCGCCAGCCTAAACTGTTGATACAAAGGAGGATGGATCCATGCTTTCATGTGGTTCACATGAAATTCTGGCCCTAACATCTGAAGGTCACAGCAGATATTGGCACTCAGCAGACAAGGCAATGTTTTTCCTCCTTCTATTGTCCAATTTTGCTGAGCCCATGTGAACTGTAGCCTCAGTTTCTTTGTCTTTGCTGCTGCAGCCACATCTGCTTCAAGGTTCGACATGTTGTGCATTCAACCACAGGACGTTCGACGTCACTTAAATAACCCGTCTTCTCAATTCTGATGCTCAGTTTAAACTTAAGTGGGTTGTTTTGACTATGTCTACATTCATAAATGCACACAACTGCTGCCATGTAATTGGCTAATAAGATATTTGCATTAATGAGCATTTAAAAAAATGAAAAACATATCAAAAGAAACATAATCAGTTTGATTTTTAATTTATGTATAACAGAAAGATGTGAATTAAACAGGCCAAACACATATGTACCATTATTTTGTTTTATTTCATTATTATAAAACAAAGGTTCAAAGACGTTGAGATTATGAAATGTTGGACATCATTTACCAACAATGGAAAACCATCATCAAACCAGTCATCAAGGTAGAATTCATCCTCACTTGCAGGACATTGTCTACTTTGAAATAAAGGTTTGGTTCACATGGTTGTTGAGCATTGTGGTTGAGTCTATAACAGACATCTAGAAATCTGTCCCAGCAGCCTCAGTTTGTTGGTAAACTGTGGTTTCTGGCCTGCTGTTAGGACTGTTTTAGACTGAAAGGGTCTGTCAGGCCTCTGGTCTTCTGCTTGTTGGTACAGTGTGGTTTCTGAATTACAGAACAGATATGTTCAAGCCAAAACACACAGAACATCACAATATTGTGAGGTTTCTGGGGTTAATGGAGAATGGAGTAATTGAGGGGGGCTGTATTTCTGTGCTATGTGAAGTGCAGGATTGAAGTGTATTGCAACATTTTTCTATGTAATAACTAATCTCTGTGAGCTAACGGTAAGTAGTTTTAGTGATTATCAAACTGGCACATGAAGCTCCTACAGTCTACACAACAACTGCATTAGTGTAATATATTTTCTCATTGGATGGTATGTATGAATTCATTTCAGTCTTACTTAAATGGGCAAACAGATTCTCAATAACATATCCATCTAGTTACCCTTTATGGTAGTTACATTGTTACTAAGAGCCAGCATTTGTATATAGAGAATACTCAGCGCTAGAATACAACTAAGTACATTTACTCAACTACACAAAATGACTGTGAAGTACTTCTGTTTTATATTACTTCTTTTTTTTTGGTGGGAATTATTTCCCACCAAACAGTAACATCTGTTTTTTACTTTATTCTTGCCATATAATACAGTGATAGTGCTGCGACCTCATATTTAGTCATGGCCAAAGATTCAAATAATGAGCTCAGTGTATGTATAAGTAATCCCTGAGAGCACAAAGCTCAAGCTTCAGTCTACTCTTTCAGCAGTTGTTCTGGTCTTAGCTCTGATGATCTCAAAGAGAGTAGATATCACTCAAATTATTTAGGCGCATGAGTCCTACCCACCAGCTTTTCAAACCTTTTGCTTGCTAGTAATAGCCAATCAACAAAGTTGGCTCAAAGGTAAAACAGCTTGTAAGATCTGAGGTACTGCACCAAGTATTGGTGTCAGATAACCACAGATTACTTTAACCTGGGAATCATGAAAAACTACTGTTGTAATGTATAAGAATAAAAATATAAATGTGGAAATTAGCATAAGATGTCCACTTAGAGTTAAAAATTTGCAGAACATTAGATAAAAGTATGGAAACTTTTATCTAATCCTAAAGCTAAAAGTTTCATTGAACTAATCTATGAGCTCTTAATGGAGCCTTACATTAAATGAGCTGTCTTTATTAAATAATGTCATTACTTTCATTTCTGTAGCTCCTCTGATACTCCTGCACAACCATCGTCAGACTGGGTAAGCTGGGAGTGCAGGCTGAATGAAACAAGCAGCAGCGTGTTGCTCGACAGAAAAGGTAGCTTCTGGTTACAAACTTTGGACCAATCAGGGCGCTGCTTCGCTTTCCTGCAGCAGGAGCAACAGAAGTTCAACCTGGATCCCTTCACGAAGAAACTATCTGCTCTAAATTCATACTGACAATGCCTTTTCACTTCCGCTGACATATCTGATAGCCAACTAATTGTCACCGAAGGAAACATTTCCGAGCGATGACAATGTTGGGCATGTATGTGCCAGACAGATTTTCCCTGAAGTCGTCAAAGGTCCAGGATGGAATCGGTCTATACACGGCGAGGCGAGTCAAAAAGGTTTGTAGTTTCTGACTCGGGCAACTTTGTAACCAGGTTTACACGCGGGAAACGTTTCGTGTTGCTTTTTAAGAGACTCCTAGAAGTGTAGATACTTTTTTCTGTTCGCATTTTCCCACTGATAGTCGCTGTCAAAATCTCAGCCAGCAGCCAAGGCGTCTGTGACGTGAAGTGCCACGTAGCTACAGTAACTCCGGCTGTTTCTCCGGGTTCACTTCACGTATTCCTGCCTGCAAAGAAGGGTCGTTCCGCGGATAGACATCCATGTTAAATCCAACGTAAAGATTTTAACTGTTCACGCCAATTAACTTATACATTCACATTCATGACCCCCCACCCTTTGTTGCCATATATGCAGAAAAGGAGGTGGGAATGTTGCGGAGGATGAGTTGGTTGAAGTGGCTGTACTGGGGATGTTTGGTCATTTAAATGTGTGGTAAAAGTTGCAGAGTGTGAACATGAATACAACAAGAAGAGCGGCACAATTTGACCACGCCCCCTGGAAAGTCAAAAGGAAAAATGTCCAGTACTGAGGGACACATGTACATGTCACCTTAAACAGTAGGCGGGCCCACCATCCACCCAACACTCATCAGTGCAGAAATCATGTCCTCTGGGGTGTATTATTATGGTTTAATGTCATTCATTTTTGGCTGCCACTGTTTTCTTTAAAGGCATGGTGTTTGACAAGTGATCCCTCTGTTTGTGTTAAAGGGAGAAAAGTTTGGCCCCTTTGCTGGTGAGAAAAAGCTGCCCAGTGAGTTGGATGAAAGCTCGGACACCAGGCTGATGTGGGAGGTGAATGCGCTTCTTTTTTCAAAATTTAAAACCTCAGGGAATGGAAATGCTGAATCTTCAGCCAGTTTGACAGTAGTAGTTTTAACTCCAGAGTTCCCACGACTGCACCTCTGAAAGCAAAAACCAAATATGTAAAATGCTGTAACGTACCTGAATCTTTCCAATTAATGCTTCTTTTTACTTAAAAAGAAGCACTACAACAGTGTTATTTCTGTGATGCTGCATAACACGACAGCTATAGCTACAAGCTATATTTCAGAATAAAATCTTATGTTTAATAAGAATTGAACAGATACC